ATCCTCCTTGTAGTATTTTCAACAAGATTCCAAGGAGATTCGTTTTCACCTACAACCACAAAATGATCCTCAGAAGGCCCTTGGAATTTTGCTCTAAAAGAGTTGTGCTCCTCGAGTTTTCATTAAAATTTGCTGCTTAATTCAACTCAGGGTTTCTTGAAATTCTACTCAAGACTATCAGGCTTCACAAGAAATCTAAAATTCCTCAGAACTACCTTAAGGGGAAGTTTACCGGCCCAAAAAAAAAAAAAGAAAAAAAAAAAAAAGTAACGGCGCCGGTGGTGTAGTGGTAAGCGTGATTACCTCTCACCCCAGCAGGCCTGGGTTCAATACCAGTCGGCGCCGCCGGGATGTTCTGAGGCATAACATCTCTGATCACGCCTTCCTTCGGATGGGAAGTAAAGCCGTTGGTCCCCGGTTCATGAATTGATGGGTCGATAGGTAGGGTCCAGGTGTGGGAGCTGCCTTCCTGGCACGTCGGTAGCATTGGTGCTCAGCACGGAAAACAAGATCGACGGAAAAAACAAACCAAAGGAAAAAAAAAGAAAATAAAAAAAATATTTTCTGTTCGTTTTTATTTTTCTAAAAATATTGGGAAAAATTATCAAAAATCCAAGAAAATCAGTTTCATTCTCAGATTTTTGTCGAAAATTACATGTAAAAATAATTTTTCTATCTCATAATGAAAAAATTGACTCTCAGAAAAACCGAAAAGTCGATGTTTTGTGGTTTTTCGAGTCCAACTTTACGTCATAATGACTTATAAACAATGTTTTTGCACGCGATTTTTTTTTGAAAAATTAGAAAAAATGTGATTCTTTTAGATTTTTGATATATTTTTTCAATATTTTTTGAAAAATCAAAACGTAATTATTTTTTTCGGAGCGATGAACTTTCTCTTAAAAGCAGATTGCATCTGATGTTTTTCTGAAAGATTTTTTTTCCCAGAACTTCCTTGAAATGAGATCCTTAGAAATTATAATAAAATTTCACGAGCTTTTAAAACTGTACATGGATTTTGACTTCAGATTCTTAAAAATTTCTTGAAGTATTATATCTGTTAAGTCCAGAATTAGTTCAAATTTAAAATTTCTAATTTCTAATTTCTAATATGCTCAAAAAATAATTCATCTAAAAATATCTTAGAGAGCATCCATTAAGTCCGTCACGCTTTAAGCGGGGAGGGGGTTTACAAATGTGTGACGAGCAATGTACTAGGTATAGGAAAATCGTTACAAAAGTTGGAAGGGGAGGGGTTGAGTTTCCCTAAAATGACGTGACGTACTAAATGCATGCTTAATTATGCTTGGTACTCTTTCGACTAGTGTTTCCATTTCCTCGCTGTGTTTGGATACCAAAAAATCGAGAATAACTAATCACGGTAGTTCCTGGGAATCGGGAAATATTTTTGTCTTTTTTGTCACCAAAAAAGTTAACCAGAATGTAAGTTGTTTTCCAATTCCACCCGGTAAGTTATTTCGATTTTCCACGGGAGCTTCATCTGGCTTCGCTGGAAAGGTTCTTCTGTCTTCCTCCGCTAGTTTTTTTTGTAAACTTCCGCCAGAATATTGCGCTTACTTTCCCTTGAAGATTCTACCGGTTTTCACCGGAATTTTTTTTTCGACGTCTCCCAAAAATCTCTTTCTTCCTGAATTTTTATCCCAACTTCTCTTAGAAGTTTCTTTAGACTACTCCGAAAACCTTCTAGCTTTCACCGGAAGAAGCTTATTTAAAACTACCTCAAGGAGTTTTTTCCTGCGTCTGCGTGCGTCCCAAATTCCTTCAAACTTTTCCCAGAAGATTATTTCATCTTCCGTTTCTCCACATAAGCTTCTTCCGGAGGTTTTTTACTACTTCTATTGGAAGGTTTTTCCAAGCTTTATCAAAAGGTTCTTGCAGTCATACTTAAGAGTATTAACAAGGAGAACCCCGCTCAAATTTATATTCCTACACAAAACACAAGCTCCTGCTGCAGTTAACAATTAACATTTATTATATATATATATATATATATGATAAGAAGCTTCGAAATTATTTCAGCATGCAATCTTACTTTCATTGGTACATCGCCGGGATGTTCTGAGGCATAACATCTCTGATCACGCCTTCCTTCGGATGGGAAGTAAAGCCGTTGGTCCCCGGTTCATGAGTTGATGGGTCGATAGGTAGGGTCCAGGTGTGGGAGCTGTCTTCCTGGCACGTCGGTAGCATTGGTGCTCAGCACGGAAAACAAGATCGACGGAAAAAAACAAACCAAAGGATAAAAAAAACTTCTTTTAGAGACATTCTAGCACCATACATCCTTCGGTAAAGTTGTTGGTCACTATTTTTTTTACATGACTTGTAACATGTTTCAAGCAGAATTGTGGTCCTTGGCTAAAAAGTATGTTTTCCCATACTAATTTCCATACAAACTTCTAACGCAATGCGGAAAGCCGGGTTATAACCAATCGTCCTCAAATTTTGAACAGTTGAGGCATAACATCTCTGATCACGCCTTCCTCCGGGAGGGAAATAAAGCTGTTAATACCCGGTTCATGGGTTGATGGGTCAAAAGGTAGAGTCCAGGTGTTGGAGCTGCTGGTGTCGGTAGCATTGGTGCTCAGCGCGGAAAACAAGATCGACGGAAAACAAATCAAGAAAAAATTCCTCAAATTTTTTTACTGGAATCACTTGACATAATCTAATCAATGAATAATCAGTCTAGAAAATCCAAAGATCACGCAGCATTTATGAATTCTTAGAATAAACATGATGACCCATTTCGAATTTTTAAGCATGCTCTCAAAATTCTCTGAAATTTTCCTTTCAAATTAGATTTGAAATTCACATTAAGCTTCCTTTTTTTTCAGTGTTGGGTATTTTGATCACTGCAACCAGTACTTAGATCTATTGTGATATATTCCCCGTTTTAATAATGTAAATTAGCATGTCGTAACACCATTTTTATGAAGCGACCGACATAGACTGACCGAAAGCTTTTTCCGAGTCAGGTATTACATTTCGAATGAATTGCACTACTTGGCTGGGAACTGAATTCCAAATATCAAAGGGTTCTGTCAGCTCCTTATCCAGAAAAATACGCCTCTTATTGAAGATTGCTGTACAAGAGCATAGCAGGTGTTCAGAGTCATCTTTTTCTATGCCACATAATCTTCACATGTCATCTTGAAGTTTTCCTATTAGCTTCAAGTGATATTTACATGGACAGTGTCCTGTTATTGAACCAGTGTACATACTGAGATCTTAAAAGAATTTTGCTAGTCATTGAAATGCTCGGATTAATAAACCGTTTCGACTGCCTAGCAATGAGAGTGTTGTTCCAATTGGTCTCCACTTTCATTTTTTTCCCATTTCTTGAACTCCATTCTAAGAGAGCAAGTAGAAACTCCACAGAATGGGTCTGGTCCTTTAAATTGTTGAGATGATTCAAGCCTAGGTAGTGTGTCGGCTTTCTCGTTCCCTAGAATTCCACAGTGACCAAGAACCCAAAATAGGTTCACTTGGTTTTGGTAGGCCAATTTTTGGAGTGACATTGCACATTCCCATACAAGTTTAGAATTACATGTTGCTGATTTCAAAGCATTTAGTGCTGCTTGGCTAAATATCAGACATAATGCAGATATTCGAATGTCTATAATTTCTACGCAAGCAAATTTGAGAACATTCAAGAATTGCTTGGACTTCTGCTTGGAACACGGTAGGCCAGTAGCCCATAGATATTGAGATATTTATACCTGGACCTGTTACCCCTGCTCCTACACGATTATCCAATTTAGAGCAGTCTGTATAAAAGACAATTGATCCTGGACGAATGTTTGGTCCCCCATTGTCCCACAAATCGCGATCCGTATCTGCTACATTGTAAAGACGATCGAAGTGATATTTTTCCTTCATCCAATCCTCATGTTGTGAAACAATAGAATCAATATTGAACATTTTTAGGATGCTCATATGTCCTCACAGATCACCTTCAAGGAAGTGCTGTGACCGTCGGATCCTTAATGCACTCCTTTCGGCTTCTTATTGAATAAATGAAGCTTCCTTAGAATTCCTATGCAATTCACCACAGAAATGTATTGAAATTCTGCTCAGAATTATATCAGATTTTGTTAAACTTTATTAGCGTGATTTTTAGCTCATTGGCTAGTTCATCTCGTAAATTATTATGTAGCTTCCCTATGAAATATTCTGAAAAACACTAGGTCTCTTGAGAAATCATTGAGCAGTTCCAACCCAAAACGCAAAAAAAAAAAAATACAGTGTTGTCTCAACATTTTCCATTTTCTTCTTATCTTACGGTGCTAGCACTTTGGTTCACGTGCAAATGACCTTAACAAGTTTGTTTACAAAAGCTTTTGTGCCGTTATCAAATGTTAGCCGGACTGGAAATTTATATTATTTAGGTTAGCGAACATTAACCTCATTAATTTGATTCATTGTGCGAATATCGCTGGGTGTGGTCAATCACGGAGTAGTAGCTGTGAATTGTACGGTCATTATGGTTATGCTCATATACGACGTAATCTGTAATGACAAATTCAATTTGACAAGTCTTTTGAGATTGTTCGATATAATTTGTACTCTGTAATTTGCAAAAATGATAGATCGTATGTATAAAGGTGAAAAGATCGCATTGTATATTGTATGAAATTTAAACATCATACGATTAAATTCATTCTTATATGCGATTTAGATTAAATCTGTAGTATTTTAGGATTTCGTAATTCTTTCTTGTGATATAAATTGTAATTCATATAGTCTATAATACCCTGTTGGTTGAACCTTTCATCAGGTCAAGGAATTCAAGAAAATTTTCTGTAGTTCAGGAGAAAGGAAATTGTGCATTCAGCATAATAGCAATGTAGTAAATTTTCGTAAATTTATTCAACGTATAAGTGAATACATATTTGAATGCATTTTATCGATAAACATAAATTGAATATGTCCAAAGCATGATCATAACGCCAACTAACCATGTTCTAACTGTACCATTTCAGCTTAAACGGTGATTCGGATTCGCTGCAGGATGTTCTGCCGGGTGTATTGGCCAGCTCTAAGAACGACCAACCGAACGGAAAACCTAGCACTAAGAAAACCAAAAGAGTACAATTCCAGGAAAATGTAAATATAATCAACGACAACAATAGCAGTTGCAGCTTGCGCACTTCCGGCGGCGGAGGTGGTATATTCGACTTCCACGAAGATGAGGACGATAACGAAAATGGGCCTGGGTTTGAGTTTCGACGGCGACGTCCGCGGACTCAGCAGCCGCTGAGATCTCCCTTGCCTCCCGGTGAGGACGGCCATAGGGATGAAGATGATGCTGCCGATGGTGGCGACGAAGACGAGGAACAGTTTATCGTTCAAAATATTATCAAAAAGATTCCGGGCAGGGTTGGACAAGGAAATGAAGTGCAGCAGGATTCCATCAGTAGTACCATGGGATCGGTGTCTGAGGATTCGTTACATACTGAAGCGGAAGTGTTGGATTATCGTATTGCTGAGAAAATTAAGACGGAACTGGAGGAGAAGCAGAAACTTGAGAGGAAATCGTTTGGAGAAGACATGCCAACGACTTCGAACTTCTCTGAACACTCCGATCGGCCGTCGGACGATGAAGCATATGATAATAAGCTTGACATTAAGAAGGTAGACATCCGGAAGGTACCCTTCGATCCGAAGCTAGGTACGAGTAGAAAATTGAAAAGAGAAACTGGATCAGTTGATCTTCGCATAGAATACGAAGAACAGGAATATAGTCCGTTGGCTACGGATGAACGCAAGCCACTGTTACCACCACCGAAGAAGCCTAGAAAAGCACCTACAACGAAAAACAAAGCCTGTACGGGTTGCGGTTTGAAGCACGGAACTGATCCGTGTCCGTTGAGCACTCCATTGGCAGTGATCAATAACAAAATCGAGCTTAAAGAATGGATAGAGCAGAATGAGGATCTGATTAAAAAACACAAAATTGTGCTTAAGCCAGAGAATCCAGAAGAAATGGATGATGAAAACGAAGATAACTACGATGACGATGAGGACGACGACGAAGGCGATGAAAACGAGGAAAATCAATACGATGAAAAACTCGATATCATACCTTCATTCTCGGAGACTTCATTGCCACCGGAGTTTGAATTGCGTTTGGCCCCGTTGGCAACGACTATTAGTACAGTTGCAACTGCAGGCAGCAGTAGTACCAGCATTAGTCAACAAATGCAGATCGATGCCAGTGAGTCATCGTGCTCGTTAGCAGCGCCACCAGGTAGTGAACAACAACAACAACAACCACCACTTCCCCCTCCAACGGCAACGGTTACCAATACGATCAACCACGGACTGAGTGTCTACACGAAGATCTTCATTCCGAAATATACTCAACTTGGACCCGTCATAGGCCTAGTAGCCAAAGAAACGGAAATACAGGATGATTGCAACATGCGATACATCTTTGAGACGTTCGATGGAACGAAGTCTACCTACCTAAACATGGAGAACAAGAATCAGGCCAATTGGTTGCGATACCTGAGACCGGCTCGGCATCGTGATCAGAAGAATTGCGTGCTCAAAGTTCGCGACGAAGAGATAGTTTTCGTGACCTGTGCGGATCTGGAAGTGGGCAGTGAGCTGCTTTATTGGAGCGAAGAAAGCAATTCAGCGTGGGGCAAGAAGAAGATGGAGAAAACAAGTAGGATAACTGGCTTAGGTTGATAATTGACGAAGACATTAATGAAAGGAATTGTATTTTCCAGATTGTGGTGGGTGCAACTTGAAGTTCGATCATCCCTTGTACTATCGCACACATTGCTCGGTGTTTCATGATCCGGCGTTTAGCTTGACGATTCGGAAATATCACTGCAAGGTGTGCGGAATTGCTGTTTTGGGAAAGGAGAACATAATGAAGCATGCCGAGAAGATGCACGACGGCAAAGGTGCCTACCAGTGTCAGTTTTGTCAGAAGGTAAGGATCGTGCTTAGGCATTATGTAACCATGCCAAATTTCCAAAAAGCAGGGGCGTAGCGTGTTTTGGTGACACCCGGGGTGTATGGTTTGGGTGTCAATCGTTTTTGTTTAGTGCATAAATGCTACTTAGCATTTAAACGATGGTATTTTAACACTCTTATACATTGATCGATATTTTTAAAGAAAGTTTGCATTTTATCAAACTTTTAAACGATTGTTTCAAATCCTGTAGCAACGATTCAAATACAACTTTTGATATCCATGTAATCAAATTATTCATATCATTTTTTGTATTTATTTTGTTTGATAAATTGTGCAATTGATTCATTATTTTACGGGTAAATTATGACGCAGGGGTGAAAGTCCCTTCCTCTTAATTAATTAACAAAATACAGTTTTCCTGATCCAAGATTTACGGTATTTTTCACAGTTCAAGAATTGGAAGTTTTGAAAGCCTCAGATTTCTTAAATTAATTTTAAGTATCAATCATACAAATTATCCAATATATTAATGTCGAAGACTATTGGGCTGAATTCCGAAATGTAAAAGATTGATCTAATTGTGTCAGAAATCTAGATCTTGAAATAATAACTGATTACATCTATAAGATCTAGAGACTTCTGGTAATTTTTAAAATTCTGAGCGGGGGCGACCCCGGCGTAGTGGTTAACATCCATACCTCTCACGCCAAAGTCACGAGTTCAAATCTCACCCCCGGACAAGTCACAAATGACCCAAGAGTGTTAAAGTGACTATAATAAAAAAAAAAAAAAAAAAAAAAATTCTGAGACTAAGCGTACAATTTGTTCGACTTTTTTCAACAAATTTGAAGTCTTAGAAAACCTCCCAATATATGAAAATAGAAGCAAATTACAAAATTATCAGTATTTGTATTAATTTATTCTGCAACTGAGAGGAATGTATAAGATACCAGACTTTAAAAAAAATCAACATACTAGATTTGTAAAAATTAAATTATGGTTGAAATTCTCGTAGCTCATGGACTTGGACAAATATTCTTACTTAAACTAATCATGTTCGTATTCCTTCATGCGTTAACGATTAACATAGGTGGAGATGCTCAACGTCAAACATAAGACTTAAAGTGGTAGCACAGAACAGATAGGTAACTCAGAGCAAACGGTTTCATTTGAAACTGAGTTCATGCTTTTCATGTAATTTTTGCTATTTCTTTCTATTTTTATTTCGCAGTACACATGATGATTTTAAATCTTGTATAAATTGGTATTATTACCGTTAAAAAATTTTGCTTACAGTACGCTCCTAATTGTTTGAACATGCAAAAATTAAATTTTCTTTTTTTTCAATGGTTGGCCAAAACAATCATTATTGACGTAATTTCACCGACAAACCGACATGAATGACCATACAAAGTATCATCAAATTTCTGATCAAAACACAAAACTGATATCTGCCGCCGTGTTCGTGAAAAATGTGTATCCTAGCCACAAACACACATACAGAATGTATGAGATGGTTCGTGTCTAATCTATTCAGGGCAAATTATTTTTATCTAGATAATAAATTTCTATGGTTTCGACAGGTGGGATCGCTGCACATTTGAATCCGCCGTTATGGATTCTCGATCAAGAGTAAAGTTTAAGTTTCAGGTCAGTTTGTCGGTGGTAATTCTAGCGGTTTTGTTTGAATACGTGAATAGGGTATTGCATTGCTTTGCATAAAATCACTATTAGTATCACAATTTGTTTGAACCAATTATAAACATATTTGATAGGATGTTGGTGAAATGTCTCGTTTTTTAATATGGTGATTGCAAATGTGTTTACGTTACAACTATGTATGTATGTACAACTATGCTACTTGCTGGTCTGACTCTGTATGATAATAATAAGATTCGATGCCTCCGCCATTTAATGGAATAGTGTGCACATTTTTTTCTGAGAGAAGTGTGTTCAGTCCATTGTAGTTTGGTATAAAACCTTCTAGATCGTCAAAAAATTGCAATATGTACAAAATAATCTTCTCTGAAAACGATTATTGAACTTTCTCATTTCGCAACCAAAATTTCTGAAAGTTTCACAGCACATTAAAAAAAAAATGCAATGTTTGTCCAAGAAATAAGCAAAGCTCTACGAATCAATAGCAACAAAACTAAACCAATTTCCTTACATAACTACTGATTTCAATATTAAAAGAGTAAAGATTTGTTTAGAGAGCCGTTGTTCTGTTGCGTGTAATTAAGGTGCGTTCCATTAATTTCGCATGAACCAAATGTTTTATGGGATTATGAAATCAGCTTCCACAAATCACACAATAATGAAATTGCTACTCCTTGATTGCTGCGGTACAACAAACAGGGAGTAGCAATTTCATTTTTGTATGTTTTGTGAAAACTGACATTTGTGCTTTTAAAATTTCACGCTAAGGCTTCCTTAGAGTATCAACTTATGATGATTCTTTTTTTTTTGTATTTGTAAGTGACAAGAAGAGTTCTTCAGTTTGTATTTGACACATAAAACCTGCCGTAATACGTGATTTTATCATATACCGTTAGTGGGGGTGACATTGGGCCAAAAATTAAACATGTTTAGTTTTGAAAATATCTAGAATATATAGAAAATGATGTCTAAATCATGTTGCTTGCAATCCTGGGGTAAAGTGTTTATAACATTATCATGTTGTTTTTTTTTACATAAATAGTGTTCAAAAGTTAAGTGCCATAAATACCTTAAAAAAGCGTTGTTTAAACTTGCCCATTGGTAATCACATGTGTAATTTTATGTGGATAGACATGGATTAAACGTGATCCTTATTCATGTATACGATTGATCATGATCATTTCCAAATGTACTCCTAATAGTTACATTGCATTTACTTATATTGAGATTTATGGTCAAATGTATTTTTTTGGCCCTAAGTCACCCCTCATAAGGAATTTCAATGGTCCAGTTTTTAAAGATTAAAAAAAAGGGTTTTTTGATTTAAATCAACCATCTCTTCAACAGTCGTAAATATATTATTGATGAATATACTCGCATGCTTAAAACTAATTTCCTCGCTAAATGTGAATTTGATAAGGAACGGAACTTAAATTGTGTGTTTTTGGCCCAATTTACCCCCAAACTTACGGTACTATCTTCTTTTTCGTGTGTGAACTTTAGTGGTTGACCAACGTTTCTAATGCAAAATCCTACGCTGAATTCAATGCCGTGGTCAGGAAAAAGTAAAGTAGAGCCATTTTTGAGATATACAAAAAATTTGATTTTTTGAATTTTGGACAAAAGTACGATTACTAAAATGTCAACATCTTTGGAACTAGTGCACCAATTTTAAATCTTTTTTATGAAAGTGAAGCTAAATAAATTTGCTATCGTTCACTAGAATATTATGTCTTAATTAAAAATTTAATTTTGAAGTCATTTAAAAATTTACAGCATTTTTTTTTTATTTTTCCTGCGAATTTTCCATAAAAATCTTGTTTTAATCAACATTTTTAATGGGATAAAAAGATTCAAAAAATCATTCCATAATTTATTCTTAAAGTCCATTAAAAACTGGAGAAAATGAGCCTTTAATGGAAGAAATCGGTTGGAAATTGTTGAAGTTATGAAATTTTTTGTAAAATCATGGAAATTGAATGTTCCAAAATTGGCCGTTGTCCCGCTCCTAGGTTCATGCACCACTTCCAGTAAGCCTTTCTGCGGACGTGTACGCATACGGTGCATTTCACTAACGCTACCAGCTGTCACGCAAAATTAAATGGGATATTTTCAACAATATAATTTACGCTAGTGTTTGTGAGACCGCTCGGCGAGAACCTAACGCAACCAACTCAATTTGACAGCTTTCTTTCTTTAACATTGCTTAACGATGTATACGACAAAACGTGAATTCAAGTGTAAAAATGATCCTCAAAAGTTTTGTTACGCGTGTGGCAACTATATATTTACAAAATCGGTCAATTTCACTGCTTCGTTGCAAACTGCATACAGGCTTTATTTTAAAATTAATCCTGGAGACTTTGACGAACCGTGGATTCCAAAAGTATTATGTAGTTCGTACAAAACGTGCTTGGCTAGGTAGATGTCAGGCGCAAGGTAAATTGATATTTTGAATAACTTTCATATAAACAATTTATGTACAGCATGGTAGTGCTTTGTTCTTTCCTGATCGACATTATCTTACTTCATCTATTTTTGATAAGTGTTAATGTCTTACTTACTAACTCACTTATTTGTTATCTGTCAGTCGCTATTTGTCCTTTGACATGCCCACCATATGGCGTCGACCGTTTTGTCATGCAACGGATTGTTATTTCTGCTTGACAAAAGTTAAGCAACAAGGACGTCACAAAACAGTTGAGTATCCACAAGTGGCTTCTATGACAAAACCTGTTCCACATTCAAGTTCGGTCCCGTATCCTGTTTATCCAAAGCGGAAACGAACGCCCTCTGTTGAATCGACCGTTACAAAAAGTGAGGAGGAATTCAAGGAGGAATGCGAGGAAGACTTCGAGGTGGAATTGGAAAGAAACCCAATACTGTTTACACAATCCGAATTTAATGATTTGGTGCGAGATCTCGACTTATCGAAGGAGAAATCCAAATTGCTGGCATCACGCTTGAAAGAACACAACATGCTGAGCAAGGAGGTCAAAATTCCTTGTCACAGGAATCATCACAAGAAATTTGACAAATATTATTCTACAAAGGACAAGGCATGTTTTTGCCATGACGTAAACGGCTTGTTTGAAGAGTTTTGTGAGCCATATGATCCAGCTGAATGGCGTTTATTCATCGATAGCAGCAAGTTGAGCTTGAATGCCGTTTTACTGCATCAAGGGAATGAGAAACCTTCTATTCCATTAGCTCATGCCGTTAATATGAAGGAAACGTATGAATCAATGGCTCTATTGCTCAATTTGATAAATTACAATGAACACAATTGGAAAATTTGTTCCGATCTTAAAGTGGTTGCCATGTTGACTGGATTGCAACAGGGATACACAAAATAT